ACACCCACCCCACCTTTCCATAGCCTTCATAGTTGAAGAAATGCAAAAGGATTTGTTAGTCTACCTGACCTAAGTTCATGGCTTCAGGAAGGTCCCAGCATAACTCTGCTTTGTCTTTCAAAAGCACCCTTCAGGAGCTGCTACACCTCAGGGTGATTTTTAACAATACCACAGGGGAATGAATAAATTCCAAAGGAAATTACATTTATCTTTGAGATCATGTCTTTTCATCTCACCTCCATATCCCTATCCCTTCATGGTGTTGTCTTCTATAAAGCAAGAGATGGCCATTGTCTGGTCTCTTAGGTCTATAGTTTCTCTTCTTCCTGTCACTGAGGTTCCAATTTTTAAGTGATAGAATGTAAAGAAACTCAGGATGAGGATTACATCTGGAGAAGATGGGTGTGTGGGAAGAGGTAGAATATTAGAAAAATTTTAAATTTGAAAATGGTAAAAATGTGGAAAAGATGTGTCCTGAGAAGATACATATGGGAAAATATGCAATCAAAAGATGCTTGACATGAGTAGAGATCAGAAAAATACAAATTAACATCACGAGGGTGTATTATCACAGGCCTATCAGAATGACTAAAAATGAAATACATAATAATATCTGCTTTAGTTTCTTTTCTGTTGCCATGACTTTATAAAAGAAAGCATTCCATTGGGGCTCACAGATTCAGAGGCTTAGAGTCCATAACCATGGGGGTGGGGTGGGGAGCATGGCAACAGTCAGGTAGGCAGACAGAACACTGGAGCAGTAGTTGAGCACTCACAACTGATCCACACGTATGAGGCACAGAGAAAGAACTAACTGGAAGGGTATGGATTTTTTACACTCAAAGTCCACCCACTTCAAGCAATCTGCAGGAGACCCATGAATATCTGATTAACTAATTAACTTTAGTAGCATAATTAAAAACCTAGCACATATTTCCAATGGGGAAAAAATGGTTCCAATGTAGACTTTGCTCGGGTACTCTTTATATATTCCAAATTATATCTCCACCCTAAAATTCATTTTGGGTTCCCAGAACAGGGAAGAGATTTGAAATACTTTTTTTTTCTTTTCTAGGTTATAATTTAATTGCAACATCCCTCCATTCCTTTTCCTCCTTCCAAACCCTCCCATATACCCCTCCCTATACTCCTTCAAATTTATGGCTTCCTTTTTTTGTTTGTTTGTTTTTTTTTCAATTCTCTACTTATATTTTTATTTTTTCTTGTTTTCTTTTTGAAAATCAAGGCTCATTGTTTTTCTTTTCCCAAGATCTTACCTGAATGCTTTTGCTAAGCTAATTCAAATGTTTTCTTATAAATCTTTTCTTACCATGAAAGTTTGCATTGGTATTATGGTGGCTAATATAAGTAAGGAGCCCTTCTTAATATTTAATATTATTTTAAAAAGGCAAATTGTGTCAATTATTCCTTTGCGTTTGTTTGTATTCTTGATTTTCCAAGGATTTATGAATAAATACGTAAGTTTTGACCACATTGTTTTAAAAGTACTGTGGCATTATAGGTTAGCTGATGGGTGGTATTGCTCTGTATGCTGTGAATGTGTTGCTCTGATTGGTTGATAAATAAAACGCTGATTGGCCAGTAGCCAGGCAGGAAGTATAGGCGAGATAAGCAGACAAGGAGAATTCTGTGAAGGAAAAATAGAACTGAGAAGGAGATGCCGGCCCGCCATCCAGGGAGCAGCATGTAATGGCACACAGGTAAAGCCACAGAACACGTGGCGACATACAGATTAACAGAAATTGGCTGAGTTTAAGTGAAAGAGCTAGTCAGTAGTTGGCCTGAATTAATGGACAAGCAATTTTAATTAATTTAAGCCTCTGTGTGTTTACTTGGGTCCAAGCGGCATGACTGGCAAGTGAGAGAGATTTGTCCTGATCACAGGCCAGGTGGGATACAAGAAAACTTCAGCTATAGTTAGCCACTAAAGCCACAGAGATGTGAGCTTTATTGAATTAACCATCAATTTAAAATCATATTTTAAACTGATTGCCACAGGAAAATGGCTTCTGTGGAATTTTCAACTCTGTGCTTTAATTTTATTATACACAAATTTTCCTGTGTAGTAATTTAAGTTTTCGTTTTAATTGCTATTAAATTACAAGAAATATTTCTTTAACCCTAAAGGTAACTGAAGAAAAAGTAATCTACTTTGAGGTGACCCTACCAAGCTGGCAAAAAAAAAAAAAATCCCCAGCCAAGTGTGGTGCCATTTGGTGGTATTAGACTTCTCCAGATCCTGAGTTAACTTAGTGTTGAGACTTACTCTTCTGGCTCTTAAAAAAACGCAGATGGGCTGTACAGTCTTAACGAGTTTAACATTTTGTGACCTTCTGTGGTTGAAAGAGAATTGGACAAGAAGCCAGAATTCGTGGGTTCTAGTCTTGGCTCTGGCACTAACCAGCTGTGCAAATTTGAAAGTTTTCTCCTGTAATGTAGAATTATTGTCTATTATCAAATTATGAATTAGGCTAAGTGATTTCATAGGTTGCTTCCCTATCTAACAAGTAAACTCTGGGTTCAGATGAAAGACATACTAACCAAGCATACCTGGCTAAATAGATTTTGCTGATCCTCATTTTTATTGCTAGTAAAATGGCGTGGCTAATAGCAGAGCAGGAGGAATAAATGAGCCAGTTCCTGTGCAAAGATTAACATATAATGGGTGGTCAGTGAAGATGAGCTATTGTTTCTGTGAGTCTGAGGCTAGCAATCTGAATACAGACAATGGGCCTCTTACAATGGTCCAGCTCACAATGGGTAGCCTTTACTATGGTGGGAAATAATACATATTCAGTAGAAACTGTGTTTTCAACTGTGAACTACCCCTAGTCCAGTGACGTGTAGTCTTCAGTTCTCTCTTGTTCCTGAGCAGGTGCAACAGTCTGCAGCTCTTGGTCAACTATGGCTCCACTGAGGTAAGCAAATGGCCCTGGACTGCACTGTATTGCATAAGGCATAATTTCTGTCCTAAACAAAATGCAGTTTTTCTAACTTCTTCCATTATCTGCCAAATTCTTTATATATATATATTTCTTTTTCAGGACCTCAAAAATGCTAAACAAGTACTCTGCCCACAGAACTTCATTTCAAGTCCTCCCCTTTATGGGGGCGGGGAGGCAGTGAGAAGGGTAGAGACACGAAATACAATGTAAATTTAATCTGGGTGCTGTGGCTCTCCTATAATCTCAGACCAACTGAGGCTGATGCAAACTGATAGCTGTTCAAAACCAGTCTGGGTTGCACAGTAAATTCCAAACTAACCTGGGGTACAAAGAAAGACTTTGTCTCAAAACAAAAACAACAACAGCAACAACCAAACCAAACCAAACCAAACCAAAAAAACCCCAAACAACAACAAAAAATAAAACCACCCCAACAACGACAATAACAAAACCACCTTCTCACATACAAACAAGAGGTAGGCTTGTATGAAGTTCTTATGCTCTTAAACACATTTCTCTAGGACCTCTGCCTTAGTGGGATCACAGTTTGACTGTAAAGTCTGAGTGGAGATGACTGGACCTATGAACTGATCTGTAGATTTTTAAGAGTCACATGCTAACTGGCTGTACCTCTAACTTCAATCTAAGATCAACTGCCAGTACTAAAAATAAGAACTCTACGAATCTTAATGGTATCATTCAACCTTGAACTAAGTGCAAATGTCCCTGGGGTTGGCAGGCTCTGGAGGCTCTAGAGAGCTCTCTCAGTTTCTGCCTTAGCTGGAACTGTCTGTCTGAATTGCTCTCAGAGACACAGAGCAAATAGGTAAGGACAGTGCTGGAAACATCTAGTCTCACGGGCACTTTATAAAATCAAATGATACCAAGGGTTAGAGCAGAAAATGTGGTCCCTTGTTCCGTCCTTCCCTTATCTCAGCTCCATTTCCCAGAATCAACTATTTCTGGTGTTTCTATTTAGTTCATCTAGGGGTTGATCCACAGTCTATACATCATGCTACTATAAGGACTATTCTACACACAAGCGTTAGAAACCACCTTTAAGTTTCTCTCACATGGTAAGAAGTACAATTTTCTCAGTTATTCTCACTCTATCTTCTTTCATATAAACGTCTACATAAATAATTTAAATGTTCATCTTCATTCAATTAGTTATACACTTGGTATTCTACTCTGGAAAATGAAGACCATTTTCCACACACGTGTTCTCTTATATTTTCCTGAGAACTTACAATAATGTATACAAAGTTAACAGTGATGGTTCTTGTCTGTGGATTGATTGAAAAAAAAAATATATATGTTTATAACAACACTCAGAAGAACAGGCCACCAATTTGAAAGGGAATGGTGTGGAACACAGGCAAGGTCAGAGGGAGGAAAGGGAGAGAAGGAAGTGATGCAATTATGTTTTAGCTTCAAAGTTAAAACAAAGTAAATGTACTTTTGTCATCAGAAGACACATGCTGTGGTATATAGACCAGGAGTTTGTTACAACTGCGCTCCCTTTCCTACAGTGTGAATATGACCACTATGTCACATAACATATCAGCTTATTCTAGTAGCAAACTTATCAGTTTATATATAATTTACCTCTCACTCAAACTTCTGAACTACAGTCCGTCATTTATTTGGATCACACGTTTCATGTTTCTTATGTAGCTGTGTTTCTTTTCCTTCTAGGAGTTCTGATTGTGTCATTTGATTCTTTTTTTTGCACTTTGCCCTTAGAGGATCATGGATCAAGGTGTCTGAAGTACACATCAGAAGGCTGGTACTCCTTTAGCCAGAGGTCCTATGGTTATCTTTCAAAATATCACATTTATACAGGAGTAAGAAAATAAAAACTAGTGTCTTACTACTCTGGCAACTGGATTCTGAAGAAGGCCAGAGGCCAGGGCTTTCAACAGGGAGTGGGAGCAGTGCCAGCATCCCAGGCTTCCTTTTGCATCTTGTTGTCAAGACAACAAACATTGCATTTACTGCTGTGGATACCATCACCACTCTGCCTATCAAAGGTTTTATCACAGGAAGCCACTCAACCTTGAGAAGCTGGCATGAAAAGAAGTCTTTTGATACATTTGTGAAATTTTTGATGTCAGGGCAGAGGTGCACAAAAGGTACTTTCCCCCCACAATGTGTTTTGTCAATATTTTTGATGCTTGGGACTTGTCAACGTTAATTACTTTGGACTGAACCTTGGGAAACAAATTTACCTCTGATCTGAGATGTTTGATTCATCTTGAATCTTTCTAGAATGTCTAATTGAATGATCTCTGAGAAGGTGGCGATGAATGGGGAAAGATCACAGCTGGCTGATGCATAATTGCCACTTGATTTGAGGGATATTCAAATATATTTCAAGCTGCCAGATGGTACGTGGTTCAGACTGCGATGCTGTGGGATCAATGGGGACGAAAACAGTGGCTGTTTCCTGCATATGTGATGGTGAGTGTCAGGGAGTGGGCATTGGGCTTGGAGGCGTTCTAAAATATTTCAAAATGTAAAGGCTTCGGCAAGATATAAATGAGCTGACCTTTACTTAAAAAACATTTACAGCTTCTCTCCCTCCAAACGGCCTATGATGTTCTCTAGGGGTTTCAGCATGGGGATGCAGACACTTCTTCCTCTTTCTGAAGGAAGGTCCTTGCCAGACATAGTCTTTCTTTGTCATTAAATGCCAAGCTTTGGAGAGAACAAATACAGAACAGGGGGAGAGAATGTCATAGTCCACGAACAACCCATTGGGCTGTACTACAACATTGACACTGTAGGAATCACAGCCACCAGCGTCTGCTCAGTCTACTGCCCGACAAATCCTTGCATGCAAACCTCTTTTACAAGAAAAACTTTAAAATAGAATACATCTTCTCTTTCAATAGGCTCCATGCACCTCTATCAAGTGTATAAGGAAGAATAGTAACGGCTAAGGTCCCCAGGTATCTAAACGGTTCTGGATCTATGCATCTATGGGTCAATGGCAGCCTTTTGCAGATCTCTAGGAAGGATTTTAGCAATGGCTCCTGACTTTATTTAGTTCTACAGAGAAAGTTTTAAAGATGGACTTTGCTGCCACTGAGCTCCTGCAATGTTCAGTCCAGCCATTGTCTCACAAATAGCTCAATTCCCTGTCAAAATCTATTCTACTTAAAGAAAAGTTAAGTGAACCTATCTTAGGAAATCAAATTCCCTGGGCTCTCAAGCTTAGAAACAGACTAGAATTTTCCCTATAAAGGTGAGGAAATTCATAATGTTTTCTTGGTAATGGTAAGATTACTGTTCTCATTTAGCCTGGAGGACTCAGTACCTCCTTTTGCCTATCTGAGGGACTTCCTTGTGGAAAAGGGATTTGACTTATTATGTGTAGCTTCAGGAAACAAAAGTCAGATCAATGAGTAGGCACTAAAACTCTCAGAGGCAATTCAATATCCAATTTTAAGGAAATCTATAAAATCAAGGAAGTCTTTTATGCAATAATTTAGTTCCCAATTCTACTTTTCTTTCAATTTTCTCTAATTTCTTCACTTGCTTAATTTGACTCTCATTCTATTCTATTTCACTACATGTATTTTCTCCAAGTCATGAGACAGCATTAACTAGACAAATGATCAATGAAACTATAGCATGGCAGTTGTCCACATATTAAAAAGAGGAAGGTAAGATCTGAGTTCCTGGAGTGTGACAGACTCAGTGTAGAATGAAGACACATATATTGGGGGTTCTGCTATTTGGGGATGTTTACAGATTTAACAGTCTCTTCCATGCTGATAAAAGAGACTCCATTTCCTGTGAATTCGTGGGATTTGGGAAAGGAATGAAAATCATGTGTCTTGTAAAAGAACAGGATATAAGGACTAGACACGCCATCAAGATTCCATCCTGAACATGACTGCTAATTCCTCTTGCTTCTGCTAAAAACGGAAGGAGAAAACTGGCTTTTTTCAGTCGCTTTAAAAATGCCTGTAGAACAATCAGAAATGATTATGCTTCAGGCTTTGGAAGACAGCTGCTTTATAGGGAACGTGCCTCAAATCAGCTCTTTTAGGTTGTGGGCTAAAAATTGAGGCAGAAAAAGCAGAAGGGTTTGGCCACAGAGATAACCAATCAGCAGCCAAGACAGGAAATCAATCCTAACTTCTTATCATCTGGTGCAATTTGCCACTCACCTCAATATGTTCAAGATGACTTGTGTGAAGGTGTGATCAAGTTGTAGCTGGATACATATCCAAAAGGGCCATTTTGATAAGCATTTCTCAAAACAAGCCGAATTCTAGCACTCTCCACAATTGCAGCTAATGGAAGCCATGAAATCTCACTCCAAGGTGCTTGCTATTCAGCGGACCACACAGAAGGACTGCATACAGCCATAGAAAGAGATTTTTCTTAAAAAGAAATTGAATCTGAGTCCTGCCTTAGATGTAATCACAATACAGTCATGACATAATTATTGTATTTTCTGATACTCCTTTTGGAGATAAGAAACTATTTGTCATCTCTTTGAGATTTTCTGTTTTCCTTCAGTTTTGAGTTAATACCTGGTATAGGAAGCTCATGGTCCTAATTTATTGAGAGAGAAAGGCATTTGCTGTTGCCCAAGGATTGAGGGATGCAGCTAGCAGGCAGAGATTCCCCCAGTTATGATTACTTATATAACCTGGGGTTTGCAGAAATGTCAGAAACTCCATGTAAGAGAATCTGGACCAATCTAAAGTATTAAGAAAAAAAAAAAAGGGTTCTAGTTTTTTTTTTTTTTTAAAAAATGTGTTTTTATTTTCTCCAAATAAACCATGAGAATGTATTTATAATTCAAAATGCATTTGTACTAAAACTTTGATATTAGAAAACAAGGGGAGGTATGAAGTATGAGCTAAATTTTTAAAGAATTGGCCCTTTGCTAAATTCTAAATGTTGCTACATATAACAGTCCCGCACAGATCATGGCTGCTCAGTTTTTCAATGTGTCAACCTCTTGCTTGTTTAATCATGAGGCTTCCAGAGCCAATATCATGGGTGCTAGCATCTAGATGTGAGCCAGTTCTCTAGAGAAGTAACCTCGACAACCTGCGGCTACAGGGAGCACACCAGTGCAATCTGAAGATCTGACATGTTTAGAAAGCGATGAGTTTGATAAGACTACTTAGAGTGCCAAAGCCTGGGCTTATTCCTCCTGGATGCAGACAAGCTGGTTTAGATCCCTGGGTTTGGCCCTGGAGTGCCTCCTCTCTCTTAGTGGCCATCCAAAATAAGCCATTAGTCCTGAAGTGTTCTAGCCCAGTCTGTATTTGCATGCACATCCTCTTGGTATTCATCTTAATTTGTGAAGAACTGAAATTAAAATCACTTTTGTGCTCATCTCTTTCTTTAGTTAGGAAGTTAAATTGACTTTACATATCTCATGAAGCATTTTATTTTGGGTCACAGCACATGGCTTACCAAGCAGGATATGCTGTATAGAGTGACTGCAGCCACGGTAGACTATGTATGGAGCAACAGAAGGAAAGAACACATTGAGGCCAGTCAGTTGCTTTTTTAAGAGCCAAAAACAAAAGAATGATTGGAGCTAAATACTGTGAATATCTTCACCCAAAACCCCAACCGGTTGTACCGTCTGAAGCTGTCTGGGTGCTATGAAAGAGGTTATTGTAGTCATGAAAGCATTCTTTGATGTCAACATGACACTATTTCAAATTCATTGTTTTGCTTTCATATCAGTATAATTTATTATTATTATTATTATTATTATTATTATTATTATTATTATTATTATTTTGAGAGAAGGTTTCTTTGTGTAGCTTTAGAGCCTGTCTTGGAACTCGCTTTATAGACCAGGCTGGCCTTAGACTCAGAGAGATCCACCTGCCTCTACCTCCGGAGTCCCAGGATTAAAGGCGTGTGCCACCACTGCCCAGCTATCGGTGTAAATTTGAGATTTTAAAAAAATTCTTAGCCTCAGTTAATGCATGGTAACAATCCTTTTGTGATAGACAGGGTTGTTTATCTATTCTTTTCGCTTTCGCCATTTAGTCTTCTGAAGGTGCTCATTGGGTTTCACCGTCACCCTGTGAATCTGGACTTTATTGCAGGAATCCGGTGATGTGACGAAAAGGAGGTCTGCACTGTGCCAGTCCTCAGGTCAGTCCATTCCTTCATTCGTTTGCTGGTTTGCTCATTTGTTCGTTCCTTCATTCCTTCCTTCTTTGGAATTTCCCTCCCAGGTCTCTTGAACTGTAGCCTGAATTTGTTATGGAGCTAAGAATACCCGTGAACCTCTCATTCTTCTACCTCAGACTCACGTCTCCTAAGCACTGGGATTACAGGTGGGTGCACCACACTCATTTTACCTGGAGAAGAGCAGGAACTAACCTTTACACTCCTGTGATGTGTCAGGAAAAAAAAAACAAAAACTATTGTCCCCAGGAATTCAGTGTCTTATTAACATAGAATGATCTAGAATAATATATTAGTATATTATATTTATATATCTGCCTAGAATGATTATATTAATATATAATATATGATAGATATCTAGATTATCCTATGTAAATTTTCAACTCTACACATATCTATCTACACATTGTATGCACATATTATGGAAATACCATATGGATTTTGAAAATCCTGAGTTCAGGTTGAAGCAGAGACTGCTCAGGCAACATACAAACCAGTTGGGTAGAAAATGAACTTTGCATGAACGATTATTTCGGTAACAAAAGATGATTGATTTATTAGGTAGTACTTACAATACAGTAGGTGTGAAAAAAGCAGTAGATCTCCCCTTAAATATTTCAACACTTGTGATTGTTTGAATGGTAAGTATAAATTATAGAGAGGAGGTGAAAGTGGATAAAATTGGGTAACGTATATCAGATGTTAGAGGAGCAGTGGATGATGGGAATATCAGGAGAGTGCATGAATACATGGGTATTTAGAGATTAGAAAGGACAAGTGGGGAAATTAGAGCCCTTAAAAAGACACAGGATAATGAAATTACAGAAAAAGGATCATTAAAGAATAAAATCTGAAGGCATTAAAGAAGCAATTCTTGAATGCAAAAAATTAAAACTCTGGGAACTGTTTTACCCACTTTTTTTTACTCTGCTCAGCTACTTTGGCTGCATAAAGACTTTAAAGACAAGAGTTTATAAGCTCACTGGGAAGATAAGACCCACAGCCATACAAGCAAACAGTAATTACACCTCACAGCCAGCCCAGCAAATGAGAGAAAATACACAGAGCACCTGGCCACTGTCTGGCACACAGCAAATGTCCGATATAATTTGCTTGCTTTCCCCATGGCTTGACACGGAAATACTGGTGACTCTTCCCTGGCCAGGGATAAAGGGTATGATTTCCTGCTTGACTTGGCTTCACAAGGGTAGAGTCAGTCCTTTACTAGTTCACCCTCAGCACTCTGCATGAGATACAGGCATGCACAGGAAGAACTCTTCTTCATCTTTATGAGAATGAACACGACAAGTGAACAAAGGCCCCTCAACTCTTCAACCCACTCACTTGCATTTATCCATCCTTGCCTCTCCTTAATTTACCACCCAGTGTGGACTATGGAATCTATTAACCTTGTTTTTGACACTTGCAGTCGGCCTGCTGAGCATTTCTACTTCTTTATGCTGAACTTCACCTTCTTGTCAAATTAAAAAGAAATCTATTCATTAATGGGAAAAGTCCTTTAAATAAATACAGGATTTATTTGCTTCATTGATTTACTTGATTTTTACCTAGAAGTGAAAAGAGCTAATGAGTCTGGAATCTTGCTTCGTGCATTCCAAAAGTGAAAGGCAGAGACCTTTGGCTTTGCCAAGCACAGTCCTCTAAGATAGTTTATAGAAGACAGGTGAGGGTGTGTGTCATGATCTGCAGAGGATACTGGGAAGAATTTGGTACCATCCCTGCTTTCCAAGAGGTTACAGTCTAGAAAGGAAGGACTGGAAACAGTCAAACACACCAAAAGGCAGAAAATGAATGTAAAGGCCTCAGATGACATTTACTTACAGAAAGTGTTTTGCATTCCAGAAGGTCTCAGAGAAATCATGAACCTGTTGTCAAATAAAACAAGGAGGGAAAGAGAAATCATTGCTTAGCGTTATCACCTGGAAACTTGGCCAACATCAACTATGAAAATTCAGTCTTGAATAAGGGCTTTCTTAGTGGGGAGAGTCTACACAGTAAACACAAAGAAGCATTTTCTGCACACTTTAGCAGCCAAATGGGGTATTACTCTACGTGTTAATGAGTCCTCTAGAAGTTCCTCCAAACATCACACAGTACTAGGGTTTAGAGGCACTCCACCGCTACTGTCCTGGATTTGGGTCTAGCAACTGGGAGGGTTTACTTCCAGTTGCAAGGAGAGATGTAGGAAGTTTCTGGAGTTGGAGCTGTGGAGCCCATAGGCTGCTTGTTAGGCTGCTTGTTGGAGGGCTGAGCACCATCTGTTCCACATGACAGTGACACAGATGAGAATGGATGATGGTTGAAATAGGTAACTTTGATGGTTGGTGTTTAAATAAGTGACATTTTGTATGGTTTCTTGTTCAGCCTTTATGCAGGGAGAGGAGCTCGGTCCTACCTCAACTTGATGTGCCATGCTTTGTTCAAGCCCATGGGAGGCCTCCCCTTTCTGAATGGAGACTGAGGAGAAGTGGGTGGGAGGGGGATAGAAGGAAGGTGGGGGAGAGGAATAGAAGGAGAGGAGGGAAGGGTAACTGTGGTTGATATGTAAAATAAATAAAAAAGTGAATAAAACCCAAAACACTCAAACAAACAAAAAATTAGTTTGCTTAGTGAGCAGGCTTTTTGAAGCCCAGTACCTATGGTGAGACACCTCACACAGCCTTGAGGCAGGGGGAGGGGCTTAGATCTGCCTCTACTGCATATACCAGGCTCTGCTGACTCCCCATGGGAGGCCTTACCTTCTTGTAGGAGGGAATGGGGGAGGGGTTGGGGGAGGGGAAGCTGGAGGGGCAGGAGGAGGGAAGAGGGGGATCTGTGATCAGTATGTAAAATGAATTAAAAATTTTCTTAATTAAAAAAGTAGTTTGCTTAGAAGTTAAAAAGAGAGTAACTGGGGGCTGGAGAGATGGCTCAGAGGTTAAGAGCACCGCTTGCTCTTCCAAAGGTCCTGAGTTCAATTCCCAGCAACCATATGGTGGCTCACAACCATCTGTAATGAGATCTGGTGCCCTCTTCTGGCCTGCAGGGATATGTGCACTGTATACATAATAAATAATTAAAAAAAAAAAAAAAAGAGAGTAACTGTCTCCATTAAACTTTACATGATCAACCTGTCCTGGATCAGCTAATGGAGGCTCACAGAGCTGATAACAAATCTTTCAGGTATTATATACACCAGCTGTTAATCACAAACATTATTTTAAATTTAATTATATAGTTAAAAATAAAATGAATTATTCTAAAAGCAAAGGATATTAATCCCTAATATGCATCACTTTCTAATTATTTGACTTACTCTTTGAGGTATTGATACCTTTGGATGTAAAACTGTAGTTTTCTTTTTTCTCTACTCAGATGTATATGTGATGTATGTGTGTGTTTGTGTATGTGAGAGTGTGTTTATGCCACAGCTCCTGAATGGAAGTCAGAGTGCAAAGTGGGGTGTCAGTCCTTACCTTGTATTTTGTTTGAAATGTTTTGTTCACTGCAGCATGAGTCACTCTAGCTGGACTATGAGCTACCAGAATGTTTTGGTTTCACCTCCCTTCTTGCGATAGAGATGCTGGGATTACAGATGTCTGCTACCATATCCAGCTTTCTACGGGTTCCAGGGATCTGAACTCAGATCCTCTTGCTGTTACATTCTGAGCCCCCTCCCTAGCTCTGCAGACAGTGTTTAGCGGGAAGCTACTGCATATGTCTTTCTAGCTCAGAATGATTGATGTTACTTTGGCAGATTGAAGTTAACCATGTCGAGGGCATTGTACCATAGGGATCTGCAAATGCTTTGATAAGAATTTGATTTATTATTTTGTTGATTGTCTAGACTTAGACAATGATGAAAGTGGTAATAATGAAGATGAAACTTAATCATATGTCATGTTTAGTGCTGGAGCTGAAATTTATATTTAATGGATATAATTTGTAGAAAAATGAGAACCAGTTAAATCATAGACCACATATTATATTAAATGATAATACATTTATTGACAAAATGATTACTATTTTGGATGCAATTCTAATTGCTAAATCATGATTGAATTGTACCATAGATTAGCTACAGATAAAAGAATGCAACATATTAAACCAGTAAAAAAGTTAATGAGAATGTTCTATGCCAATAAATTGGTACATGGAACTTAGAATAAATAGTCTTATGCTATGTTATGTTTTGTAAGATGTATGCTACAAATATATGTATCATTAAAATTATAACAAGGTGAGGCACATACACATTTATTTTACCAGAGAACTAGATGTTAAACATTTACTAGTAGTTATTGCACAGGAAAATAAAAATTATCTTCTCTCTCTAAATTGTAAACACTTAAAATAAGACAGGTCTTAACCAAAACATTATTCAACTGAAGAATTCTTTTGCTTTAATTTTTGATATTGGAAAAAAAATAAGGCACAGGAGAACAAAACACTAGCCAATAGGTTTAAAATAGTATTTGGTAAACATTGAACCAGTGACCTTTGAAGGTCACATTTCGTTCTTCACTAAGTGCGGTGACATGCCAGCCCAAGGGTGAAGAGATTGCAAATTAGATTTAGCACAAGTGTGTTCAAGTATTTATTGTTTTTCTTGTGATACATGGCTTAATTTTAAGGTTTTGAATTTTCACATTCCCTGGGTTTGAGTCAAAGATTTAGGCTTAGCATGGAATTAAAAAGCATGAGGGCCCCCTTTCATCTAGGAGGCATGTGGGGTATCTCATATCCATGTTTCATATCCAAAAAGCAAACAAACAACAAAACCTAAACCCCACAACTTTTATCATAACCAAGACATGATGGTAGGCAGAAGACATTTTTAGGCAAAGTAGTACATATGGAACTGAGATAATGATGCTATATTGTTTTGTTAATTCAGAGGAACATCTAACATCTGGTCTATGTCTGACACCAACCAGAAATCCTAATTTACCTGCAAATATACCGTGTATTAGTGTTATTGTTGGCATGCATAGGTTAAGCTTTGAAAAACACTTTTGGTTAATGGTATTTGGAGGCAGAGATGATATGAGCCAAACTTACTTTTAGATTCATTTAAAGCACTGAATTGATGATCTCTCAGGGGACAGGAGCCAACTCACAATTTAGTGGCCCAGAGCAATGA